CCGCCAGACCCCGCCTCTCTCTTTAGCGTCATCACCCAGCTCACCAATCACAACCCAGGCTTCCGCGAGGCCCGAGGCGACAGGCGATCCGTCAAGCCATCGGAGTCCCGCCTTCAAGGCTCCGCTGGCTACGGCTATTGGCTGGTTGAGTCATTCTCCCCTCCCCCTCCGGAGCAGCTGACCATTCCCTCCTCTTCCGACGGAAACGGGGAAAGGGGTGAGGTTTCGCCAGGACACGGGCCTTCTAGGCGTTTGCCAATCTCTCACTCGTTCCTCGGCCGCTCTTCACCCGCACCTTGGCTGTCAGGCACGGAAGGCTTGCAGTCTTAGGGCGCCTTCGGAAAGCGGCCGGGCAATAGGATGGCGATCGTGCAGGTGCCGTCATAAGGCTGGCTGCATCTCGGATTCCTAAGTAAATAATAATCAATAAAGGAGCTGCGGTGGCTCAAGTGGTTAAGACGCTGTTCGAAAGCAAGACACTGCAAGTAGATAAACAGGTATTGCTTCAGTGGGAAGGGAACAGCGTTCCGTGCGCCTCGGCGTTTAGTCATGCCGGCCACATGACCACGGAAACGTCTTCGGACAGCGCTGGCTCTTCGGCTTGGAAACGGAGATGAGCACCGCAACCCTAGAGTCGGATGCGACTGGCTTTCGAGCAAGCCTAGGGAACCTTTACTTTAATAATCAATAAACTCCGTGACCCACCCAAAGGTTGGGAAGTAAAACGGCTACAGGGAATGCCTTGAGGATCGGAGGAGGGGCTTCATAGTCTGCTCCACAATCCACATTTTGATGTCCATGAAGGGGGGTGGGGTGGGGGGAGAGAGATCCGAAGGTGGGAAAAGCCTAGGTCATTTTTCAAAGAAATTGTTGCGCCTGCGCGTGAGAAATTGCTGTGAGTGAGTCGCAAGTGAAGGACAGGAAAGGAGACTCCAGGCAGAACATCCCGGCCCCCGATTCATGAAGCACGATTCCTCCTGAATCCATCCAGCTCAGCCACATGTTAAGAGTAAGTAAAGGTAAAGGTTCCACAGTTGAGTCCGACTCGGGTTGCGGTGCTCATCTCCGTTTCCAAGCCGAAGAGCCAGCGCTGTCCGAAGACGTTTCCGTGGTCATGTGGCCGGCATGACTAAACGCCGAGGCGCACGGAACGCTTTTACCTTCCCACTGAAGTGGTACCTATTTATCTACTTGCAATGTCTTGCTTTCGAACTGCTAGGTTGGCAGGAGCTGGAACTAGAGACGGGAGCTCACTCCATCATGCGGCACACTCGGGACTGATCTACGGACCTTCCACAGCCTGCAGTTCAGTGTCTTAACCACTTGAGCCACTGCAGTTAACTCTGGTTAAGAGTAGACCAAGCCTAATAATTGAGACAAGGGGCATAATAATAATGGTCCTGCGCTCTACCTAAACTGGAAACCGAAGATGTAAACAGCTTCCGCGGGGGTTCCCCAGCATGGTGCCCGTGGGCGTCATTACTGACGCCTTTCCTGGTGCACCCCAAGCAAGCCCGATACTGGGTCAGTTCCTAGATGCATTTATTTATTTATTTATTTATACTTTAGATTTCTATACCGCTCCAAACCCCGAAGGGTCTCTGAGCGGTTTACACAGTTCCAAATTATCCCTAACTAAGGCCACATGTTTACAGGGGTCGGGGCTACCTACTGGCACCCAGGTGGCAGGGCTCGCTGTTCTCAGCTTGTTCCCGGGCGGTCTTCCCGGGCGTTGGTGTTTCGATGTTCCTGGCGTCTCCGGTGTCTGGCGAGGTCTTTTTGGTCCGGCGGCTTTCTTTCTAGGCGGGCTCCTCTAGTGCGTTGTACGTGTCGACTTACAGCCCAGCTAATGTCCGATCCTTCTTGCTCCTGCCTTCGGGTCTGCAGGCGGAGAGTTTCCTCCCCGGGGACAGAGCAAGGGCCTTGAACCGGGGGCGGGGCGGGGGGGTTCCCAGATCCATCTTTACCTGGCCCTGGATGAGGGAACATCAGTCCCTGGAGCAGATGAGGCTGAACAGTTAAAAAATGCCATCTTATACTATGTTGAACATCTAGAGCACTTTAGTCAATAATTGTTAAGAATGCTTTTTTGTATTGTTGGTGTTTTTAAATGTTTGTAAACATGTTTTATATTGGCGTTTGCCTCCTGTAAGGCGCCCTGAGCCCGCATTGCGGGGAGGGTGGGGTATAAATTGAATTAAATAAATAAATAAATCCACAGCCTCCTTTCCTGGAATCTGGGGTCTACCCCTTCCCTCCCAGACATATTGTTAAAAACTCCCAGATGGGCGCTTCCTGGTCGCGTTCGAGCTCCTGCCTTTTATTTCCACGGGGCAACGGACAGTCATCGTTCTGAACAGCATCATCTAACCATGTCTATGCCCCTCCCCCAACTGCTGGTCTGAGTAGACAATCCTGATCTTGATGGACCAGAGATTTGATTCAGTGTAAGGCAGCTTCATGTGAAATGTCCATATGAAATGATACTTGATGCTACTGAGCAAATGACCCAAGCAATGAAGACATTGTGCCTGTTGTAAGAGCACCTTGATTGCTGCCTGAACCGTGCCGTCATTGTTCAGAAGGCTTATTTCCCCCAAGGTCACCTAGCAGCAAATATAAACGGCATACTCAGGCAGAGGGACAACTGGGAGCTTAGCATGGGGCATACAAACCGGGGGATTTCAACTGCCACGTCTGCCTTTTCACAAACGCTTATGAGCAACAGAAGGCAACCGGGCTTGGTGCAGGGCACTGGTGGCACCTTTGATGACTTGGCTGCATTTTCTGCCATCTGCTCAGCCCAAGCTGACTCAGAGCGTAGTATTACGAGCAACTTTTTTTTTGCTCGGGTGGGGAAATGTAACCGTTAAGAGCTGCTTTCGGGCCTACAAGAGCAAAAGATCTGTAGAATGCTTTCTTTCTCGTAAGCGTTGCAGAGTTCGTGTTGACCTAGCAACGTTTTTTTAAAAAACGGGTGGTTTGGCTGCTCAGTTCCCCGCGTGGCTGTTCGTTGCACAAGTCTCATCTAGAGAGACCGCAGGAAACAGCTGATTAAAAGTCAAGCTTGTCCACAAGAGACGTGCTGTGGGAAATGGAGAACTGATGGGAGAACAGAGATTCAGGTGGGGGTAGCTGTGTTGGTCTGAAGCAGCAGGACAAAGTTTGAGTCCAGTGGCACCTTTAAGATCAACGTTTAATTCTAGGTATAAACTTCCATGTGCAGGCACACTTCTTGAAGAAATATGCATATACACAAAAGCTTATACCCAGAATAAAACTTTGCTGATCTTGAAGGTGCCACTGGACTCCAACTTTGTCCTGTTGGGAGAACAGAACAGTGAGAATTCAAGTGTTCTTCCCTCTCTCAAAGAGGGTAAAGGTAAAGGTTCCCTTGCTCGAAAGCCAGTCAAATCCGACTCTAGGGCTGCAGTGCTCATCTCACAAGCAGCTCCACAGCCGAAGAGCCAGCGCTGTCCAAAGACGTTTCCGTGGTCCTGTGGCCGGCATGACTAAACACCGAGGTACACAGAACGCTGTTACCTTCCCACCGAAGTGGTACCTATTTATCTACTTGCAATTTCTTGCTTTCGAACTGCTAGGTTGGCAGGAGCTGGAACTAGAGACCGGAGCTCACTCCGTCATGCGGCACACTCGGGTCTCGAACTGCTGAACTACCGACCTTCCACAGCCTGCAGTTCAGCGTCTTAACCACTTGAGCCACCGCAGCTCCTCTCAAAGAAGGTAAGAGAAAGTTAATCAGACTGTCTAAAGCCAAGATGTGGGTCGGTATTCAACATATACCCACAGCAAAATTCTGCGCTGAGAAAAAGCTGCTGACTGGTCCTTGAACGAATTCTGCTGATTAGCAAGATTCTTATTTCACACAAGTCTTTGCAATTACTTCTACTGCTTTGCTCACTGTGGGAAAGGCTGAGAAGCTCTACAAGGGTAGCAGAGCCCTGCCACTTGAACCACGAAACGCTTACGGGGTACCTCCTTTGGCTTCCAAGATCTCACCAGGAAACACCCGCTCATTTTCAAACCCCTCCATAGCCATGGGAATCAAGAGAGTCCTAGTTACGCTTACGGGGTACCTCCTTTGGCTTCCAAGATCTCACCAGGAAACACCCGCTCATTTTCAAACCCCTCCATAGCCATGGGAATCAAGAGAGTCGCCACCCCTGCACTCTGTGGCTCTTCTGGTCCAGAAGGGCAGCCGCAGAATTCCATATGCAAGGGACAAAACATCCACTCCCCTTGTGTGTCTCACGTTTCACGCAGGGAAGCGGGATGGTATTTATCCAAAGCTTCCGTGACCAAGTTATTAACACAGATTGCTGCAAAGGGGGTGAGAACTAGAACCTTGCTGGTTGCGGTACTGGCTGGTGGTGACCATCTCTAACGTACATGGAAGTACTGAAATTCGTGTCAGGCTGGGAAATTCTGTGAATTAAGTTTTATATGGAGGGGGTCTGCATAGATGTCGGGGAACTTTGATGGGTTTATGAGGGTATTGCTCAAGACCAGGGGTCCCCAACGTGGGGTCGGTGGGTGCCACAGCACCTGCCAACACCTCTTCTGACATTTGCCAAGTGTTTTTAGGAAGTGGGAGGGGCCAGGTAGGGCTTTTGCCCAGCAATCCTTCTGATTGGCTATTCAAGATCTGATCGGCTGTGCAGAATTTTTTAAACATTGCTTCGGCAGCCGCCACCACCAGAGCACAAGGATCCACACTGCGTTACTAAAGTTAAGCTGTGGCAATCATTTTGTGTTCGGCTCCGCCTCCTGCGGCAGCCATTTTGTGACTGTACCCACCATGCCGTTCACAATTCCAAATGTGCCTCCAGGCTAGAAATAGGTGTGTGTGTGGGGGACCTCTGCCCAAGACCCTCCAAGATTCCAGAACATTTTAACTCGCTTCTCTCTTTGGGAAAGCGCACAATTTCTTCTTCTGGATAGTCCCACAGACCACAAGGACCAAGCTTCAGTTCAAACCAGGTTTTCCCTTTATTTAGACCCAGTGTCACCACACATATTCCAGGACTCATTAAAGGAAGAATTTATTTCAGATAATATTATAACATCTGTCTCCAGACAATTGTTGTACAATCAGGTAGCGTGAACAATAAACCCGTGGGAAACTCATCTGGAAGAGAACAGATACTGGGAGTTAGTCTGGGTGCATCTATGTTCTGAAGCTGTCTTTCCCTGCTAACCAAAAACCTCTGGATGAAACAGTTAGGAGAGAACAATCCGATCTGTGCAGGGCAGTGGAAGATGAATTGTTTTGCTACATAAAGCCATTTAAAGAGACCTCCATATGACCACTCTGCAGCACATGGCTCTTTCTTCCCCAAACCTGTGTACAGGCTAAAACCTTATGGGCTGATTTGTTACCTTTTACGTACAGTTGTTCCTTTGTATCAGAGAATCAGTCCTGCAGAGCTATCACACTTTTTAAAGTAAGATTTGCTAACTTTCCCCCCAGCCACTTATATCTTGCATTCTTAAAAAGCCGCACTTAAACTGCACTCAAACAGTTTCAGAACATTTTGGCCAGGCTTAGAACTTAGCAATGACTTGGCAGGGAAGAGCCTCAGAACACAAGGAAAACCGATTCAGTTGTATATGCTGTTACACAGGAATCCTTCCCCAATCTTAGCCTCACAACCACCCTGTGAGGCAGGCTAGACTGTGAAACAGTGTTGATTAATGATCTGAACCTGGGTCTCTGAAGTCCATATATTTATTTATTTATTTATTTATTTCTGACAGCATTACAAAGTATCTCTCCACCAGATCAAGGCTGCATGAAGGACGACAGACCAGAATTTTTCATAACTCCAGTGGCACAGGGGAGCGGTGGCACAGTGGGTATATCCCACTGTCTTAACATCCGAACTGTGTTAGTTCGAGCCCCGCGCTGGTGTGAGCAGCCAGCCTGTTGTCCCCAGCTCATCGTCCACCCAGCAATTCGAAAGCTTCGGCGAGTAGATAAAATGGGAACCACTCCTTAGAGAGGGTGGGCACACCAATCTCCCTTGTGGGAGGGTGTTAGCCGACGGTCGGGACTTCCTGGTCGAGGTCGGAAAAAGGCGAAAGAACTTCTCAGCTACAAAAATCCCTGCAGTGGATGTCTATGGCCAGGCGGTGGCAGTGTGGCGATGTGACATACGGGTCCTGAAGCCTGGTTGACAAGCAGCCGTTCAGAAAATGATTGAGCCAAGCCAGAAGACGTTTCCACCGTGCAGTGACAGCGTGTGCAATTAAAAATGAATATATGTTGTCCTCCCTATCCCCTTTGAACATTGTTAGTCCCCTGTCTAATGTGTAACTGTACAACGTTTTGAGCCTACTAGGGAAAGCGATTAATAAACTGAAAGTATTATTATTATTACTATTACTATTATTATTATTACTTGCCAAATGGAAGTTGGGTGGCTCCTCCCAGAGGGAGGAAGATTTATTCTCTTACCTGAGAATGTTTACAGTTTGTCCAGGCCAAGTTCTTCTGGAGTTGAGATTCCCAGTTCGTTCAGAGTTGGTCTAAGTTCCTGGATAACGTAGGGGTAGATTTCTTTGTGGGGCCCAGCTTTGTCCTAATTGAAAGAAAACACGTTATTCAAAATAAAAGACCCAGAAAAATAATAATAATGGTTGATTTATACTCAAGATCCAAAGGTTAACTACTTGCACATGTGAAAGGGACCTGGGTGTTCTGGTTGATCACAACCTAAACATGATGCTGCAGTGCGATGTGGCTGTGAAGAAAGCTAATGCAATCTTAGGATGCATTAAGAGAAGCCTTGTGTCCAGATCACAGGAGGTGGTAGTTCCGCTCTATTGTGCTATGGTCAGGCCTCACCTGGAGGACTGTGTCCAGTTTTGGGCACCACATTTTAGGAAGGATGTTGACAAGCTCAAGCGTGTCCAGAAGAGGGCAACCAGGATGGTGAGAGGACTGGAATCCAAGTCTTATGAGGAAAGGCTGAAAGATTTGGGTATGTTTAGCCTGGGAAAGAGAAGGCTTAGAGGGGACATGATTGCAGTCTTCAAGTATTTGAAGGGCTGTCATGTAGAAGAGGGAGCAGATCTAATCTCTCTTGCTCTGGATTGCAAGACTAATGGGTGGAAATTACAAGGGAGTAGTTACTGGCTAAATATCAGGAAAAACTTCCTAACTGTAAGAGTGGTTGAGCAGTGGAACAGTCTGCCTCGGGAGGTGGTGGAGGCGCCTTCGCTGGACGCTTTCAAGCGGAGGCTGGATGACCATCTTTCGGCTATGCTCCTGCAGAGTGCAGGGGGTTGGACTAGATGACCTGGTCCCTTCCAACTCTACATTCTATGATACTTTATTCCTAACTGGTTAAATAAACCTATGGCCCTGAAAACAAAAGTTTATAAAATGTGAGAGACACATACGGTCAAGAGTAATAGGCTGCAGTTTACTGCTTCAAAAATCCAGCTGTCACAATTACCAAGCGGTACCCAAATACACTGCTGCACGAAGAAGAGATTGGATTTATGCCCCACCCTTCACTACCCAAAGGAGTCTCAGAGCGGCTTACAAACTCCTTTCCCTTCCCCTCCCCACAACAGACACCCTGTGAGGTAAAAAGAAGAAGAAGAGATTGGATTTATACCCCGCCCTTCACTACCCAAAGGAGTCTCAGAGCGGCTCACAAACTCCTTTCCCTTCCTCTCCCCACAACAGACACCCTGTGAGGTAAAAGAAGAAGAAGAAGAGATTGGATTTATACCCTGCCCTTCACTACCCAAAGGTGTCTCAAAGCGGCTTACAAACTCCTTTCCCTTCCCCTCCCCACAACAGACATCCTCTGAGCTAAAAGAAGAAGAGATTGGATTTATACCCCACCCTTCACTACCCAAAGGTGTCTCAGAGCGGCTGACAAACTCCTTTCCCTTCCCCTCCCCACAACAGACACCCTGTGGGGTGGGTGGGGCTGAGAGAACTCTGACACAAACTGCTCTTTTTCAAGGACAGCTGTGCCAGAGCTTGTGACTGACCCAAGGTCACATCAGCAGGTGCAAGTGGAGGAGTGGGGAATCAAACCCGGTTCTCCCAGATTAGAGTCCGCGCACTTAACCCCTACACCAAACTGGCTCTCACCAGGGGAAACTGATCTCAGGGGTTGTAGTTCAGGGGTGAAGCCGCCCTCCTCTGCACACAGCAGGACCCAAATTCAGTCCCTGACATTTCTAAGTTACAGGGTCTCAGGCTAAAGAAACCAGAAAACACTTCTGAGGGAGGCATCGGAAAGTTAACCTCAAGCAGAGCAGACAATGCTGGCTAGACAGAGCACTGGATGGGCGGAGATGTCTCTTACGCAGGAGAGTCACACTAGGTAAAATGTGATTTCCCAGTAAAAGTGGAGTCTTGAACCTCTTGGGAGCTACGCAGAGGAACATGCCTTGACGAAAAAGGAGAAAAAGCAGCAGGAGTCAAAGGCACGGCACTGACCTTCACAACTTCTAAGATACGGACTGTACTAGCAAAGTCGTTTAGTCGCCTGCATGCCCTTAAAGCAGCGTCGATGATTTTTGGTTCTGGAACCAGGTCATAGCTAACCAGGGTGTTCACACCTGTCAAAAAGAACAAGCAATTTCAGGGTACCATTTTTTTCTTACAGGATTAAATGGTCTGCAAAAATTCCGTCCTTTGTCTCAATATTAATGATATTTCTACACATACCCAAGAATCCCAGAGGAGCTCGATTTGTAGCAGTAAGAACCTTTCTACCCCACAACTTTCTTCCAGGTTCCTGATCTCACACATTTGATACATCTACGGTACGTATGGATTAGCACAGCAGACATAAAATGGTGCTAAAATTTAGGATATAAAATTGATCACAACAGCAGCTATTTACAGTTCCAACGCTGAGGGATGTTAGCATAAGGTTGAATTATTTAAAAGTGCCTTTGTAAACTGACCTGCAGCTGTGCTGACTGTTTGACTCTATTGTTGGTTTTAATGCTTATGGGATTCTCTATACATCTAGAAGCCACTTAGAAAGCGATATACAAACATCTTAAATAGGATCTGACTCCTACCAGAACTACACACTATAACTTCAGTGCTAAAATTTCAGCCCTGCCACTCTTACTTCAACCCAAGCTCCCAAATTTACAAAGTGATTCAGAGATCCACAATGAAGTTTTCTTTCTGGCTTTGCTGTTGCAAATATCTGGATCTCAAAGCTGTTCATAAAAAGTTCTGTTTCCTTCTGGTTAAGGCAGCCCTCACATCCGCTGGGGAAGTTGTCTATTTTTGTTAAGCAAAGGTTACTCATTAAACTGCCAACTGCTGCCTCACCTCTGCACTTAAGGAGACAGTCACCACATATGAGACAGTAAAACATGCCACTGTGTCTCTCCGTTTACAAGAGGGGGGGAAAAATGACAACTCTAAACTTGAAACGATTCACTAGAAGTCTTCCTTTTGTTTACCAGCACCCTTCCACCCTTCTTCAAACTGAACTCGACAACACCCGAGACGTGCAAACACTCTTTTCAGGTTTGCAAGCAACTTAAGTGTGTAACCTGGCAGCGAGAAATATTCCCTTATTCTTCAGGCCCTCAAGTCAGTCAGCAGGTGTACAGCAAAAGTCCTTTTTATGACCAGAGGTACACAATGGGGAGCTGTGGTGGCTCAAGTGGTTAAGACGCTGAACTGCAGGCTGTGGAAGGTCAGTAGTGCAGCAGTTCGAGACCCGGGTACCGCAAGACGGAGTGAGCTCCCGTCTCTAGTTCCAGCTCCTGCCAACCTAGCAGTTCGAAAGCAAGAAATTGCAAGTAGATAAATAGGCACCACTTCGGTGGGAAGGTAACAGCGTTCCGTGCGCCTTGGTGTTTAGTCATGCCGGCCACATGACCACGGAAACATCTTCGGACAGCGCTGGCTCTTCGGCTTTGAAACAGAGATGAGCACCGCAATCCTAGGGTCGGATTCGACTGGCTTTCGAGCAAGGGAACCTTTACCTTTTACACAATGGGAGGTCTGCTTTGAAGACTGAATGGGTATTTTAAATAATTTGGTTTGATTTAACAGATTATGAACTAGCAGGCCTGCAGCCAGGAATTTTTGTTCGGGGGGGGGGGGAGTTAAATTACAGTTAATTAAATTAATCTGAATGCCTGTCTTTAAGGGGGGAGGCTCCGAGCCTGTTTCTAGCCCTTCATTTCAAGGGACAGGGCGGCGAGCGCGTCAGAAAGGGGGGTTTGTTGGAGATGTACTGAAGGTGCCCCTCTGGAGTGCCCTTCTAAGCTCTCTTGTCCTGTGGAAGGGAACTCAAAAGGCATTCAAATGCCCTCTGAGCTGTCTTTTCCCAGGTCCCATGATATGCTCCCCCCCCCAATGCTACAGGGGGAGGGAGAGGGAATCCCGAAGACAAGCCACGGCGCTCTAACCCTGGCTACTGCCAGCAGCAGGGGGTCTCTCCTCAAAAATAAGATTTCCGGCATGGCTATTTGTGGGGTGGGTCTTTTAATTAAGGGGGCGCCCCCCCAAAATGCCCCACCGTAGCTATGGGCCTGTGAACTAGTTTTGAGTCTATTGTTGTAGCGGTTAGAATAGCGCTGCTCTAGAGCCAGCTCCATTAAGGACAATGAGCTACACCAGAGCAGACTGGACCGTGACACATCATGAGCCTTTCTACTTAATCGTTGTAAGGTTCGGCGCTGATATCATATTAACGTTCCACCATCCTTCAAGCTGCAGGCTGTGGAAGGTCAGTAGTTCAGCGGTTCGAGACCCTGCATGACGGAGTGAGCTCCCGTCTCTAGTTCCAGCTCCTGCCAACCTAGCAGTTCGAAAGCAAGAAATTGCAAGTAGATAAATAGGGACCACTTCGGTGGGAAGGTAACAGCGTTCCATGCGCCTTGGTGTTTAGTCATGCCGGCCACATGACCACGGAAACGTCTTCGGACAGCGCTGGCTCTTCGGCTTTGAAACGGAGATGAGCACCGCAACCCTAGAGTCGGATTCGACTCGACTGGCTTTCAGGGAACCTTTACCTTTACCTTCCTTCAAGCATGGAACTCAAACAGTATATGTAAGGTTCCGAAGCACTGACGCCTATCTCTGCTTCTCATCAGCAAGGCTCCAGTTGCTGTGGTGCCCTCCAAATTATATCCTGACATCAGCGATAACACTATGTTCTGAAAACATGAAGTTGCCTTATACTGAATTAGACTCTTGGTCCATCAAGGTCAGTACTGTCTACTCAGACTGCCAGCGGCTCTCCGGGGTCTCAGGCAGAGGTCCCTTGCATCACCTGCTACCTGTCTTTTTAAACTGAAGAAGCCAGGGATTGAACCTGAGACCTTCTACATTGAGCCACAGCTGAAGCACTGCGGTGTGAATAGGAGGAGAAGGAGATTGGATTTATGTCCTGCCCTTCACTACCCGAAGGCATCTCAGAGCGGCTTACGATCTCCTTCCCCTTCCCCTCCCCACAACAGACACCCTGTGAGGTAGGTGGGGCTGAGGGAGCTCTTTCCAGGACTGCTTTTGAGACAGCTCTGAGAGAACTTGTAACTGACCCAAGGTCACACCAGCAGCTGCATGTGGAGGAGTGGGGAATCAAACCCGGTTCTCCCAGATTAGAGTCCGCACACCTAACCACTACACCAAACTGGCTCTCCTGAAGAATAAGGGAGAGTTTCCATCCGTGGACGTTAAAGAGCATTACCTTTTCTGAGCTCCCAGGCGTCGATATCTGGTTTATTGAAGTACGTCACCCAGCGAGCATCAAACTCTTCATCTGACTCTTGGGACCCATGAGAATAGCAACGTACAGGCAAGGCTGCTGCGAAACAGAAAGGGTTGTGTGTGTGGGGGGAGAAAAATAGTAAAGGGCTCATTGCAAAAGCTTTAATGAAACAGATATAACACCTACGAAGCCACTAATCTGCACTAAATCCAACAGGCCAGTGGTGTAGCTGTGTTGGTTGCCACTCACCCAAGGGCCCTGGGCTGACAAGCTGCGGTAAAATATACCCCTTGCCTCCTCACTTGCGGCACTCCCAAGCTGCGTCCAGCCTCCAAGGATATATATCAAAACATTATGGCAGTCTTCAATCCCCTCCGCCGAAGCAATGCAGAGGGAGCAGTTGACAATTAAAATCAAGCCACTATATTTCTGTTTAGCGCGTGTTTCAAAAAAACTATGCCTAGATAAAATTTGGGATTGCTTTGCTATGGAACACTTATCAGACAGATTATTACAATCAGAACTTGATAATTACTGTTCCACATTGGTAGAACAATGGTAGTAGTCTCCATTCTTAGAGTATATGGCACGAACAAGTCTTCTGACTTACAACCCATATCTTATATGCGATACCCTATACTAGGTTTTAATGCTCACTTATTTTTCACCTATTGAATATATGCAGCACAGTAAGTTGCATTCAACTTCTCCTAACATAAAACTTGATTGTTTGCTTGTATGTGTTTATGGTTATGGTCGGTTATTTTTATGAACATTTATTAAATGTCATAAGAACATAAGAGATGCCAATCTTGGATCAGGCCAAAGGCCCATCCAGTCCAACACTCTGTCACACACTGGCCAAAAATACCAGGTGCCATCAGGAGGTCCACCAGTGGGACCAGGACATTAGAAGCCCTCCCACTGTTGATCCCCCCAAGCACCAAGAAGACAGAGCATCACTTGCCCCAGAGCCCCTATCTATTCCTTGTGGCTAATAGCGACTGATGGACCTCTGCTCCATATGCTTATCTAATTCCCTCTTGAAGCCGTCCATGCTTGTAGCCGCCACCACTTCCTGTGGCAGTGAATTCCATGTGTGAATCAATCTATGGGTGAAGAAGTACTTCTTTTTATCCTCTCTAACCCAACCGCTCAGCAATTTCATGGAGTGCCCACGAATTCTTGTATTGTGAGAAAGGGAGAAAAGTACCTCTTTCTCTACCTGCTCTATCCCATGCATAATCTCATAATGTCAATGCTATTGTATCGTACTAAAATTGTTTAAATAAAAATTATAAATTCAACAAACAAACAAACAACAAGAGATCAGTAAGAGAGCCCCAACATTTCCAAAAACGTCAAAATCAGAAACATACAGAGGGGGAAAGATTACTCTGAGACTGAAAGCATAGTCCTCTAGAGCAGTGGTTCACAGCCTTTTGGTTATCTCACATTCCACTGATCACTCTACCGAAGAAATTGGATCCACCATGATAGAAATAAAAAGACCACTTTCCCCAAGGAGTACATTTATATGTTTATACACATTTTGTTGTTTACCATCTACAGTAAGTTTTAACAACATGAACTGCAGAAACACCATGAGTAATCCAAGGCAGGTAAGGGGGGCCGCAGGTGACAGCACATCACAAGCGCAGGCAGATATTTATTTGCTTTGTTTATATCCCGCCTCTCTCTCCAATAGGGACCCAAAGCGTCTTACACTGTTTCCCTCTCCTTTGATTTATCCTAACAACAACCCTGTGAGGTAGGTTAGGCTGAGTGTGTGTGACCGGCCCAAGGTCACCCAGCGAGCTTCCACAACAGAGTGAGGATTTGGACCTCGGTTTCCCAGTGAATTCTTAACAATTGTTTTGAAAACCCTGCAACTCACCGGTGGGGGGTTGAGAACCACTGCTTTGTAGCATTGCCCCATTTGCGTGAACACCTGCTGTGCCTGCCACATGAACTTTTTTTTTTAAAAAAAAGAGGATGTTATTTTACAGCTGAGCTGATACAGCAGAAAAAACAACCTACTGCTGAAAGATCACTAAACAGAGGGCTTGGTATCTCACACATTTAATTCTGGGATGGTAAAGAGCTGATGTCAAAAGGGAAGTGAGTTGTGGCTGACAATGAAGGAAGGGGGAGAAAAACAGAACTAATTCTTCTTTGTAAGAATGAAGAAAAATGTAATGTATGATTTAGAAACAGAATTGACAAAACTCTGCCTGCAGACTTACAAACTAAATTAACAGGCAAATGAAGAAAGAGGAAGGGAAATAAAGGAAGAAACAGGAAGTTAATATCTCAATTAATTAGCAATGCTAATGTGAAAATAGATACGCCTTGGGATGCTTAAGCAGAAGGGACAGATTATCTGGAGGCAATGAGTTTGAAAGGTCAGATCCCACAAAGAAAGGGGCAGAAGGAATGACAAAAACATATATAATCTTGTTTTATATAACAGTTTGTATTCAGCTGGATAAGACAATAACCAAATTTCTAATGCAACATACCAGTGAAAACACTAGTGTCTTATACTGAATTGGGCCACTAGTCTAATCCGAGCCACTACCGTCTACTCAAGACTGGCAGCAACTCTCCAGGGTTTCAGGCAGAGGTCATTTCCATCACCTAATACCTGATCCTTAACTGGAGTCTGAACCTGGGACCTTCCGCATACTAGGCAGATGTTCTGCCACCGAGCTACAGTGCCCCCCTCACCAAGCTTCTCATACACACACTGTCTTGAAATAAAATATGAATCTGACCAGATTTATAAACACTCGCCTGAGCCACAAAGTTCATCCCTGTCTTGACCAGTGTCACCCACTAAGCTGAGTTAGTGTGAGCTTTTTAGCCTCTGGCTCACACATTTTTGTCTTAGCTCAGGAAGGATGGCCCCAGAGCAAAGGGCTCTTTTTGTAGCAGGAACTCCTTTGCATATTAGGCCACACCCCCTACTGTAGCCAATCCTCCAAGAGCTCACAGAGCTCTTCTTACAGAAGCTACTGTAAGCTCTTGGAGGATTGGCTACATTAGGGGTGTGTTGCTTAATATGCAAATTAGTACCTGCTACAAAAAGAGTCCTTTAGAGAGCATTGCAGCAGCCAAATCGCCCGCTCACAACTTTAATGCTCACAAAGTAGAATTTTTGCTCACAAGACTCCACAGCTTAGAGGGAGCCATCGGTCTTGACTGTCCTCCTTTCCCTATCCTGCCGGCACCTGGAAGGGCCAGTTTTTAAAGTGAACTTTGAGCCAGCTCAACCAATTTCACACAAGACAGGGCCAAAACAGAGAGCAGAGACATTTCTCCTCTTTTGATTTCTTCTTCATTTGTGCATTTTCATTTTGTTTACACTAATAAAACACACCTCAAGGGCCAAATACTTTGAAGTGATATAGCTCGACAAGAAGAATAAAACCCTCACATGGCTATATGATTTCCTGGTTTGGGGGGGAAAAAGTGATAATACTTCACGTGGTAAGCATTTGTGTAGGTGTGCTGGAGCTATAATGTAGATACTGAAATGATCTCTCTAAAGGCAATCCCTACCTTGAAGCACTAATAGCCTATCAGGGCTTGAGGGCAGCAAACCAGGCTCTAATAAATCCTAGTGTAGGAGCCTGGAGTCAGAACTCACATGACCCTGTTAAAGAGAGCACTGAAACACCCACACTTGAAGAGGTCTGTGATGGCCACATCAATCATGGCAGAGTTGGTGCAAACCTGAAGAGAAATTACACAGCAAACAAGAAGAAATGCCCTAGTGGCAGCTTTTGGAAAGCTACTCACGCTCTGCTGTACACATACATGCTTGGGGTGAGGCTAGGTGTGACCCATGGTATTCTTTAACTGGAAGTACTGTTATCTGCTTTAAAACACTACTGAGAAATTTAAACAGTTGTAATTGTGTGCATTCGTGAAATCCAAGTCAATTAACAGCAGTACAGGCTTCACTAAAAGGTTCACGGTTTCAAGGTCAGGATGTCAAAAAACAAATTGGAAAGCAGAAGGCAGGTTAAAATTAAGTATTCAAAAAACCTTGTTGCCTAGGTGTGGGGATGATATGGAAAGCAAGAAGAGAGACAAGAGATTACATACCATGTTAGACTGTAAAGCATTTTAGCCAATTCCCAAAAGATAAGCTTGCAGCCTCACATGAAAATGCATGAGCAAGCTGAAGATTCTTGTTGCACATGAAGGTAGTATTCACTGTTTAAAATGCCCTAATGGTAAAACTCAGCAGGCGTGGGTTGTTTTTGTTTTAAAGAAACAGGGGAGCACTCATTATAAGAACATCAGAAGAGCCCTGCCGGATCAGACCAGTGGTCCATCTAGTCCATCATCCTATCTCACCATCTGGCCAACCAGTTCTGCTGAAGGTCCAACAATAGGGCATACAGGCTGAGGCCTTCCCCTGATGATGGCTCTTGACATTTCAGAGGTTTATTGCCTTTGGATGTGGAGGTTCCCTTTAGTCACCACAAGCTAGTAGACACTGATGGACCTATCCTCCATGAATGACCTTGAGTCAGCCAATCTCTTTCACACGAAGACATTTTTTTTAGATTAATAACAATGATCAATATTCTTCTATCCTAATCCCAACAGAAACCCATCAGCTTTCTAGCCGAGCCTACCCTTCTGAAGCAGAAAAGCAGTGACTGAGAGAACTGCATGGTGCAGTGGTTAAAGTGTCAGACTAGGATCCGGGAGACCCAGGTTCGAATCCCCGCTCTGTCACACAAGCTCGCTCGGTGACCTTGCGCCAGTCACACAATCTCAGCCTAACCCACCCTGCAGGGTGGTCGTTAGGGTAAATCAAAGGTGACAAGAACAGTGTGAGACGCTCTGGGTCCCCATTGGGGAGAAAGGCGGGATATAAATAAAGCCCCTTTAGGTCCCCGTTTAGGGAGAAACGCTGAGTATAAATGAAATAAACTGCATAAGCTGCCTTGGATCCTCACTGGGGGCAAAAGCAAAATATAAGCACAGTAAGTCAATAGATGGCTGCTGCTTCACAAAGGTTTAGCAGGCCCCGATAAAGTAACCCCCCCCCAAAAAAAAACCCCACAGCCCGCTTCCCCCTAGGCCAGTTGGAGTCAAAACCCAAAGAATGAGGAAGGGAACGAGGAACAAAAGGTGGACAGCGATGAGAAAACCGCACTGCGGATCGAACAGGGCTGGGTTGTGATTATGCTGTCTTGATTTCCTTGTAGGCGCGCAGGTCTCTCCCCCCCACCCCCCCCCAATCCAGAACTGCTTTCGTGCCTCCAGCCCGTTCAATGTCCCCTTCCTGCCCAGCAGGGGAAAGAGCGACGGCCGCGGCAAGGAGGGCGACGGCGACCCCTTTGCCCGGCTAGGGAGGAGAGAGAAGGCCGGCCTCTCTTCCTTCCCTCCCCGGCTCCCTTCTTCCACCTTTCCATCCAGATGACCTCTGGGCCGGCCAGGGAGGCACGTGGCCCACTAGGCCGCAGGTGCCGCCTGCCCTCAAGTGGCTTTGCCCGGCTACGGGGTCACGGCAAGGTCATTCCGGGAACGCGAAGGCGGAAAGGGGCGCGGGGGTTGGGGGGAAAGAGACGCGATCCCGCCGCCGACCGGGCGGGCGTCGACGAGCCGACTCACCAGCGGCGAAGGCCCTCGGGGCGAGGCCGCGGAGGGAGAGCGCGGCGCAGCGGACGCGGAGGAGCTGAGCGGCGGCCAACATGGCTGAGGGGAGGCGAAGAAGAGGGAAAGCGGCGGCTGAGGTGAATGGAGGAGAAAGGGTCTGGGGGGAGGAGGGGCAGGCGGGTGGGCGGGCGCCCGCTGTCGGCGTTTGCTTCCCTTCCCGGCTTCCTTAGCTGGCCGCTGACAGGCAGGCAGGCACACACGCGCGCTCGCGCACACACCCCGGCCACGCGCCGCCACTCCTGCTGCGGCTCTGCCACGGTCGAGGGCAAAAGTGGGCGGAGCCGGGAGTCCGGTGGCGGGAAGTGGACAAACTTCATCCGCTGAACAGGAGGGGGGCGGGGCGGGGAACACGGAGAGCGCCAGGAACTGGGAAGGCAAAGGGGGCGTGGCTTAGTTTTTAGAGGTGGGGCGATGGGCCCTTTTCTGTTCCTCCTCCTAATGACAGAGGAGGCGATGGTGGTGGGCGGGGCCAGCGTCCCGCGGCGTCGCAACGGTCGGGGCGCGCGGGGCTTTGAAAAGCGCGAGATCCTCCTGCTGGTTTCACCCGCGCCAAAGGGAGGGGGGGGTCCGGTGGAGGTTTTGATAGGGGGGAGGCTCCCCACGTGACCTTCGTCTGTCTGGCTGAAAGTTTTTTCCCCCCCAAACAATTTTTGTTTTATTTGTATTTATACGCACAAACATTTCATCTATTCAGATTACATATATATCAGAGTCTTCCATCTCTTACTTTTTATACAAGTTGGGGATATTAATTTTCTAACAGTTTTTCTATCCACTTATACACTTTCCCCCACCTCCTTTCATGCACTTTTTCATTTTTATTCTGTAACATTAGACTTAAGTTATCCATTCTGGCAAGTTCCAGTATCTTATCTATTAATTCTTCCCTTGTGGGTGTAACTTCAGCTTTCCATTTTCGAGCTGTTAGCAGTCTAGCTGCTGTTATAATATAGCTTAATACATATGCATCTTGCTTATTGTATCTTTTCGGGATCATGTTTAACAAATATATTTCAGGATTTAACGCCAGATTTGCTGTCTGAAAGTTCTTGACGTGCCTTCCAAAGCTGCGCCCTCGTTCTCAAGAGGTCTATGGAACTCCCTGTCACAAGACAGGCTTAGATGGGTTTAAAAGGCGATTGCACATTTCCCCCCTCTATACTGCTGACTTAAAAAAAAAAGATAAACTAGATAAACTTCAAAATTTGTAAACTAAAACTAAATTTATATATATATATTAAAAATAAAAAGGCCTGATAAAAGAGAAAAAGAGCCTATATTTCTTAACTGATCAGATCAAGCACACGAAAACTTATACCCAGAATAAAGCTTTGTTGGGCTTGTTGATCTTTTACTTTGATGGAGGTGACACACATTGAGGCCATTGAAATCTCTGATACCAGAATAATTTGAAGAATTGGCATGGCTATATATATATACCAGTAACATAATTATAAACATACAAGGAAACAACATCTGTATTTATATATGTATTTGGATGTGTGTCAGTACAATATAGAAAATAGTGACCACTGAGGAAGGCCCAAAGGGGCCAAAACGCGTTTGGTCCTTAAGTTTGAAATTGTTTACCCGTCAACTGTATTTGTATTTGAAAAGTTTTTATAAGTGTTAGCCCTTTTGGTTCGCAGTTATATCTTGGGTTGAGGCCCCCCCCCCTTTTTAGTTTTTTTTTTTAATGGATTTAAACCTCCTTCTATCTGTAAATACCTTTAGTTGTATGTTAATCGAGGCCTGTCTGTCTGATTCCAATAGCCGGTAAACAGTTGCTATTGTTAAGTATCTTGTCTGTGTGCTTTTTCTCTCTCTCATGTGTATATTTATACCCGGTAAGAGAGCTAGTGTGGAGCCGATAGAGTGGTCAACTAGGTCTCCAGGCGGCCCAGGTATGAATCCCCATTTCTGTCATGGAGTGGCCTTGGGCCTGTTACAAACTCTCTGCTTCGTCTACCTCACAGGGTTATTGTTGTGGGAAAACAGAGGCAAGGGGAACGCAGTTCTAATCCACTTTCAGTCCCAACTAGGGACAAAAGCTGGATATAAATATATGCATATTCATATCTGTATATATATATACACACACACAATCACAATATGAGAGAGAGCCAGTTTGGTGTAGTGGTTAAGTGCACGGTTTGATTCCCCACTCCTCCTCTTGCACCTGCTAGATGACCTTGGGCAAGCCATAGTTCTGTCAGAGCTGTTCCTGAAAGAGCAGCTCTCAAAAGAGCTCTCTCAGCTCCATCTACCTCACAGGGTGTTTGTTGTGAGGAGGGGATGGGATGGGAAAGGAATTTGTAAACTGCTCTGAGACACTAAGTGAAGGGCAGGGTATAAATCCAATCTCTTATTCATGTGTGTGTATGTGTGTGTGTGTGTATATACACACACACACGTATACATATATATATCCAGTCATGACTACTGTGTAAAGTTTTCATTTTTCAAGATTGCTGTGATCCTGCTGATTTCAGTGGCTCGTAGATAAACGTGCTTATCCTAAATGCTGGAGACTCTCCATTCATTCTTTCTCTCGCTTTCTGGTAGCTCATGGTGCTCGAAAGTATTGACTTTGGTAGTTAAAAATGAGTTGAATGCCTGTGATGAACCTGTCATATTTGTTCTTTGCCACAAATTCAAAATGTGCATGGAATTCAGGGGCAAGACTTGCGTGACTCTGCCGGGCATGTGCTGGCTGAGAATCTGCGCTTGGCCTCAAAAGGGTGGACTCCCAACTGAACAGCTATAGTTGGCTCCACTATGCTGAATGGTTGTGCAAATCTGCTCCAGGAACTGGGAAAAGAGAAAACGACACCTTGGTTCCACAATACTCCCTGGCTGGTCTATGTACTTACTTTTGGTACATGAACTATTGGTCAGCTGCCCTCTTGTGGCTATGGTGGGCCTTTTCATTCTTTGCTGAATTGTGGGGGTCATCCAAATGCTTTCTTCCAGTTTTACACTCCTCTTGCAAGGAAATCACCTTTTCCTCGTGTTTTCCACAGCACTGAGTTGTCAGGAAAACTGAATTAGGGCTGCGAGCCTCCCCCCCGGCCACCAGTGGGGGATGGGGGGTACAGTTGCCATATCCAGGTTGGGAAACTCCTGGAGATTGGGGGATGGAGCCTGGGGAGGACAGGGACCTCAGTGGGGTACGATGGGGTACAAAGCATCCATTTTCTCCAGGGGAACTGGTCTCTGTCGTCTGGAGATGAGGTGTAATTCCAGGGAATCCCCAGGTCCCACCTGGAGGCTGGCACCTGTATTGTCAAGATCCTAGATTTCCCCATAGTCTCTTGAAACTTCGGTCCAGGCATAAGTTCGCAGAACATGGGAAATTCCTGCTTTCTGTGCACCTACACATTCCATCTAGTCAATGCAAGGCTTTATTGGAGTTTGTGGATTGGATTTGGTGTAATTGCCAGACGCTAGATACTAATTGGTAAGCTCACCTGATTGGTTATTTCACCTGGTCGTGGGGATGCCAGCCTCCAGGTGGGACCTGGGGATCCCCTGGAATTACAGCTCATCCCCAGACTACAGAGATCAGTTCCCCTGGAGAAAAGGGATGCTTTGGAGGGGGGACTCTGTGGCATTGTACCCCACCGAGGTCCCTGTCCTCCCCAGGCTCCACCCCCCAAATCTCCAGGAGTTTCCCAGCCTGGATCTGGCAACGCTACGCCCCCCCTCCCCTGTCAGTGGCCAGGGGGGCACCTGTCAATCCTGTCTGGTCAGCAACACCGATGGTCAAGCGGTGGCCCTCACTGGGTGTACTTTGTAAGGCCGTCAGCACTGGATTGGGAAATGCCTGGAGAGTTTGGGGGTGGAGCCTCGAGAGGGCGGGGCTTGGGGAAGGGGAGGGACCTCCACAGTGTATCACGCCAGAGAGTCCACCTTCCAAAGCATCCATTTTCTCCAGAGGAACAACTCTCGGTCTTCTGGAGAGCAATTGTGATAGCAGGAAATGTCTAGGTGCCACCTGGCGGTTGGCAACCCTATTTGATTGGCTACCCTGACTCATGCCAGCACAGGCTGAGAGGCGTGCTTAGTCAACTTGGTGCTCTTGCTTTGCTTCTCCTAGCCTTTTATTCCTGCACTTCCTTTTAACAAAGCACATTAATTATATTTTGGTGTTTTTGCATTTGGGTGAATAATAATAATTATCATATGGCACTGTGTGTAGAATAGCCAGAAGATCCTAAGATTGTCTGGCAGCCAGAGGTTCTAGCTCTTTTACCGTTATGCACCACTAGGTGGCGAGCTAGACTTGTTTTAAGGCAAGAGGTGAACAGCAGAGGTTCTAGCTCTTTTACCGTTATGCACCACTAGGTGGCGAGCTAGACTTGTTTTAAGGCAAGTGGTGAACAGCAGAGGTTCTAGCTCTTTTACTGTTATGCACCACTAGGTGGCAACCTAGACTTGTTTTAAGGAAAGAGGTGAACAGAGATGGTTTGCCGTCGCCTGACTCTGTGTCATGACCCTGGTATTCCTCGGAGGTCGCCCTTCCAAATACAAGCCAGGGCCGACCCTGCTTCCAAGATCTGACAAGATGGCTTCAGTCTGACTCAAGTTACCTTGGCCGGGCCAGCTACAGGTACCAAAGTAACTTGCTTGCATTTGTCTGTTTTATTTGAAGACTCAGCCTGTAGGCGGTCTACCTTACAGGGAGAGTCAGTTTTGTTCTCTGTCCAGGCTTCGCCCCCCCTTTTGTTGCCCATTTCTTGAGCCACCTTGATAATGACATCAGCAAATCACACCTATTACATACCACATGCGGTGTGCATACTGACCTTACAAGCACCTATTGGACAGTGCCTGTTCCATCGCTGTGAAGAGCGCCAGAAGTCCTACCCCGTGTCATCTTTTACAATTATCTTCTTTTCGAACCCCTGATACGTGTTCCTGAGAGGCTGGATTCCCTGCCTGAATCACGCAATCCGCATGCACCCCTTTAACCTCTACCCCAAAGGAATCAAAATCAAGATTACATCAGTTATTAAAAATAAAATACTCTAGGGTGGGCTACATGCTGGAAGACACTTCTCTCTAATGAATGCACACGTGGATCTAGTTATCTGTTTAGATCCACGATCCCCAATGTGGTGCCCGTGGCTTTTGCTGATAACCTTTCCTGGCGCCCACCAAGTGTTTTTAGAAAGTGGACAATGCCAGGTGGGGCTTTTGTCCAGCAGGCTGTGCAGATTTTTTAAAATAGCTTTGGCAGCAATTAACAGTCCTGAACACATGAAGCTGCCTTCTACCGAATCAGAACGT